TTCAAGTCATAAATCTTAAACATTTAAAGATATGCAGATCCTATACAGGCACTGGGTAGGACATTTCTTAATTCTTAATCCACAGAAAGTGGCTTACACATTAACAGACAGCATTTTTTAATTACTAGGAGCCTTATTCTTTAGGTTACTAGATAAGAAAATGAACTAGATTTGTCGGACTACTAGTAGAATCCATAGCCAGAAATTATTTTCATTTACTTATACAAAAGATACAAATTTTTATTTTCATTTACTTATAAAGAAAAAGTCCGAAATATTGATTTACATAGAAACATTTGCTGGCAGGGTTTTTAGTTAACATAAATGTAAAATCTTAAAAACATGTATCGAGACATAATAAAAATATTCTGCCTGCTCTAATTGTAAATAAGCACACTAGAAATAACATCCGTAAAATTAATAGACTCAGAGGAGGAACCTGAGATACCATCGTGTCCCCAACTTTTATTTTATAAACCAGGATATGAGGCCCCTAAAAGTTCTGGGCCTGTCCAAGCTGACATACAGACAGGGTAACATGGAGATAATACTTGAGACAAGACAGAACTGCCTACTGTAGTATCTTTCTTTGTATCTCCTGAAGAGAGAAAGCTAAGAGTTTGTTTGCTTTCTGAAATGATAATTACCTTTCACACTGTGGAAGATATTTTTAAGGACCATATTTTGTGTACACTTTCATTATAATTATTTTGGGCTTCTAGAAATTTTTAAAAACAATTCTCTATCTACATCTCAAAGTCACATTTTTAATTCTCATCTTTTACAGACCAAATCCTTGTATGAAACTCTAGCCTCTGAGTCCATTTCCCTCCCTAGATATCTAAATTAGGAAAATCAAGGACTAAGCTGGGTCTGGAAGAGTTCCAGTCCAGAAGCATGTCAGGAATGGGACGTGACAGCTAAGTAATTCTGTCTGGATGTGACAGGTAAGTAATTTTCCTTGTGAAGTAGTTTTTAGCTGTGATCAGAGTAAAGTGCTGAAAAGATGTAGCTTATAACTTCAGGGAAGATATATCCAAATCACATTTGCTTTCTCACAACACCTTACCCTGAATGGAAATTATTTGGTTATGGATAAATTATTGTGCCAATTTTTATTCAAGAGACTATGAGTAAATTTTATAGCAACTAAAAATAATGACATTTGAATACTAAGAAACACACAATCTTTTTGACAAATGTATTATTTTATAAAGTTATTAAAATATAATAACCTGAATCTATTATATACAAAAAAGAAATCTTTGTGATTTTTTTCACTCTGGTAAATAAATATCAAAATAATTCTAAAATTGTTTTTTAAAAGAAAAAGCAAATGATTTTAAAAATGGGTTTCCTCAAATTATACCTAAGAGTTGACATATTCTTTCTTAAAATAAATTTTTTACTTTACCTTCTACACATACAAACTTTATACTTCAATATATAACTGATTATATACATCTGCCTATTCTATCTGCTCTTAAAAAAAAAACATTTTATGGTAACTTTAAGGCCATCTCTAGCAGTCCCCATGCCTCCACTGTATTGGTATTTTGATAAATATCTCACCTACAAAGTACTTACAGCATTATTTCTATGAATGTTCTAGCTTGCTTTTAATTAAAAAAAAAAAAATTCAGTTTCTTTAAGATGAAAGCAGCATTACAGAAAACTGTTTTCCCAAATCAAAATCAGCCTTTTATAATACCAGTATTTAAGTTGAGATATTACATTCAGCCTGGCCTCAACAGTGCTAGGTATTTCTTCCTACCATAAGGAAGCACTATAGTCTCAGTGGGGTGTCTGCCCAGCTAGAACCTCTGTCGCTTTAAATTTGGTCCTGCATACTCCGCAATCATCTTCTCATCTCTCCTTTTCTCTCCCAGTTATCCGTAGTTAAGTTTTTCAACTTAAAAGTCACTAGAGCCTTCTTCCTTTGAGCTATTTTCTCTTCTGCAGTGGGGGCTTTGCTCGTTCCCGTCACAGCCACACAATTCCTGAGTAACCTGTACTAGCTGTGTACTTACTTGCCCCCTGCATTTCTCATTCCTTGTGATCTGGCTTCTACTCCACCACAGCAGAGAAGCTACTCTGGATGGCCTCACCCTGCCAAATTCAACATATACTTTTCTGTCCTCATACTGAATTTTGGCAGCATTTAGCATTTTCTTTAGCTTTTTTGTTCCAGTGTGCCTCCTCCTATCTGGTGCTCAATAATCTTCATGGGCTTCTTTCTAGGTTTGCTTTCTAAGTTGCCTGCTTTTTAGATGTCTAAAATTTCTCACATACCTGTTCTAGAGAGAAATCTTCCTTCCAGTAGGTTCCTGTTCCTATAGTGCCCTTTTCTACCTTCCTCCCAGCTACCCAGGGTTCCAGGGTTTTCGCTCTGGGGTTCCTCACACCACAGCAGAGACTACATGCTACAGAGTTCCCTCTCAGTCTCTCGCAAGCCCACCCTTCTCTTCACAGCACTGTCACTATGCCAGTCCAGGCCTCCTCATTCCACATATTAATTATGCAGATGCTTCCTCCAGGTCTCCTTACATTTGTCACTGACTCCTCCTCTAACTACCTCTAGAATGTTACAAAACAGATCTTTTCCAAAGGTACTTCTATCATTTCCCTGCTGCAGGCTCTCCACAGAACCAGGAGAAAAGCCCATGTTTACTGGCTGGACACAGCAAGTCCCTGATTTTCTGGATGTTTTCCAGACTGTCTCCTGTCACTCCCCTACAGGCATCTTATGGCAATAATATGGAACGTTTGGCAATTCTCCAAGCACGTTCATCAAAGGAATACACCACCAGAGAAATTCGGCGGCTGACACATACAAAGCTACAACAGCAAATTACTTCTAAAAACACTGCTTCCTCGCCCCCTATTTCCTTGGTTCACTCTTCCCTTTCTCAGTGCCCACACCACATGGTTAGTGTTGCTCTACTTGAAAAAGAACAGAATCAGTTAGGGCTGTATGACGATGAATCAGCTTTAAAACAAGAGCTTGAAATTTAACTGTAGATAATAACCAATGAAACATAAACTGTAAAATCCAGACATTACAAATCCTGTTATTCAAAGTCAGTAAAAATTAAGACTGAATTAGGGTAAACCAAACAATCTTAGATGTTCATTGTATTTTGTGGTTTTACTTTATGCAGAAAAAGACTATGAAAACATTACTGAGATAAAACAGCCATAAAACAGTTGGAAAGAAAACATCTACACTTATTTCTATCACTGCTTTTTAATATCAAGTCTTTAATATTTTTGGAGTATTGACCACTTGATAAACTGCTAATGAATAGGCATACAGTTTTCAACTGGACACTCATGTCCACTACTAGCACTTAGAATACGTAGGGTCTTAATATGAACCTTAGAGCTTAAGATAAGCCTTAAATACTCTATAATTCTTCAAGACTTGTCTTTTAGTTTACATACAAAATATTATCAATAATTCAGCTAATAACACTAATTAGAAACACCTTGTATTTACAAAGCTTAATGAAAACCATCTGAGCTGAAGTTGTAGAGGCCAGCTGAATTTCTATGCATTCTGTCTTGTTCAAAGTCTAAAAAACTGTTAGCAGAAAACCAAAATTTTAAGAATCTACTAATGTGTCATCTTAAAGAGACTAGATTAAAATGTTATCCTATCACTAGCCATCAGATTTTTGCTTGACATCTCATGAAGTATTTAGAGTCTTTTCTCAAGTTCTTTCTCTCTTAATCCTACACCATGTAAACAGGATCTGTGATACTTAAACACCAGTTCATGAATTCCATCCTTTACCTTGTTCCGAGACTGGTTTACTGATTAATATTCATGGAAAAGTGTTGTTCAACAGGTAGGAACAATTCATTGTAGAATTTGAATGGAGTTTTTATTTTATTTTGAAAATGCTTAGGCATTTTCTTGTTGGTAATAATCTGTATTACTAATGTTATCTCATGTCAACTGATTATCAAGAGCTTTAATTTTTAGAAATCCCTGAATGAAGCAGTATGAAAAGAAAAAACTGCATCTCAGGTATGCTTATGGAGATGAGAGCTGTTCTCTGCTTTCATAAACTATCTTATCTTTCCTAAAAATGCACGTGTTTATGTCACAATAAAACAGTTAAGGAAATATCAGAAGAATGAAAATATGAACGTGTTTGAGGAAAGGACAAGTGGACATGCCTGAGGAGCAGTCAATGCATTTCAGATTATTTTAGAAATATTGATTGGGAGGTTCTAACAAATTCTTTTCAGAAGTAAAACAGAAGAACACATAACAGAAACATGAGGTAATCGCTATGATAATCAGGGTTTTTCACTTCTTTTATTTACAAAACTAATTCAGTGACTTATCAATTGCTATATGGGAGTATCTATAAGCAACATTCACCATATTTGAAAAGAAAACAAACTCACTACTAATTGTTACTTACATCCCAAACCGTAAGGTTCCAGAAACATATGTTTGCCAGTGTGCACAGTAGAACATGAAGGTCCCAGCAAAACAACAAAAAAACATCCAATCAGGATTTGTCCCCAGTTGCACCGCAATACATGTTCCAAGAACCACAAAAACTGCAAAGCAAAGGCCACAATGTAAATGAACAATCTGAATTATCAATGAGCTGGATATGACTGTGGGTGAGGCAGGAAGATACACTGTGGATGTATAATCTCTGTTCACTGTGGAGACAGGAAGGTAGGATGCCATCTGTTATCTTTTAACCCTTAATTGCAACCTCTTCTTTCACCATCACTTAGTGGAACCAAAGTTCTTGAAAACAAGTATTTTAGCATATTTTGGAGTGAATTTCACCAATTAACTGATATTAAATCAGCAATTAAATAAAAAGATGGAGCAAAAAGAAAGCAAAATAAAAGATCAAGATAATTCATAAAGGGGCCTACTTGCTTCAGATTGAAAGTTCTCTTTTCTTATTTAGCAGATATCATTATGGGTGACATGTATACAAAAAGGCCCTACAGCTGGCTTCCTATAGTACAAAATGACTCGTTTGCAATAAAAAACACAGGATGTCTATCATCCTACAGTCACCTAATCAAACTAGACTAACCTTTCAGGATGCTCCATTAGCCTGTAGTAAGTGGATTTGGAATATTCCCAAATTTCCCAATATTTTGAGCTTTGAGTTAAAACTGGAAGCCTTAAGCTTTCTACTAAGCAGGTTGTTGTCAGATACACTGAAACAAAGATATTAACACACCAACTGTTGAGTCTGAGTCCAGGAGAAGAAACTATCAAAGGTTTTTGTTTGTTCCTTTAAAATATCTTAAATGCTCTGCTGAAGGGAAAGAAGCTACCTGAAGAGAGTAGAGACAGATAGAGAGGGAGGTGATGGGGGTGGGAGGTGGGGGACTTCTTGTCAGGAAGACTTGTTAGAAATTCATTCAGTTTCTAAATCGTTTTTCCCTCTTAAAAAGTACAAATAAAGCAGTACAAATAAAGACAAAGCACCTTAAGTCAGTAACTCATCTATTGCTTGCACTATGGTATATCTTTCTAGTCTTTTTATTCGAGCCCATGATCACAGTTATATTCCAAGTTTGCAACATAAGACTATTAAGTTCACACAAAATTCACATAAATATAAAGACCATGACTTCCTAGTCTCATTATTGTATTTACGAGTGTAAATCATGAGATTTTTGATGGCAGTTGTCTTAAAATTTTAAAAACTAAAGGTGCTAAAATGTTAATATTAGGACTAAAAATAAGTAGAAAATACCTTTATTTCTAAATTTCCCAATATTTCTAATAATGAACAAATATTAACCTGATTTATAATCTTTTGAGATACTCAAAAAGAAATTACTTATTCCCAAAATTGTTATAACACCATAGAACTCTTATTCTAACACTGTTTATCATATTCCTTTTATCACTATTATTAACATTTAAAAAACAGTAGTACCTGTTGATAGGGAATCACAACCATGATCAAAAAGTTCTCCCAAAGGAGAACTACTATTGGTTCTTCTTGCTTGTTTCCCATCTATAGCATCCAAAGACTGGTAAATGAAAAGGCCACATGCACAAGCTATATATGCCCACAGAGGCGCCTGAAATAAAGGACAGACAAGAGTACTGAGACATATTAGTTACTACCTTTGGCTAATATAATTTTACTTGCAGATATTTTATTTTCATTCTTCAAAGAAGTTTTAGTGGTTGGAAGTCATGGGGGAGATGATCCAAGAGCTATCTACTGAAAAGCTTTGAAAACAGTAAGAATTGTAAAAGGATGATGCTTTCTCCTTTGCAGGGGTGTTGAAACAGATGCTACCAACTTTGCTGCAGGAACTGTACAGAAATCTCATGTGAGATTACATAAATTCTGTAAGAGTCCTTCTAACATCTCAATTTTAAGAGTCAAGTAGTGGATCTTCTAGGATAGCTTTCCCCAAATTGTATCTTTCAAGACAATTATAGTCTTTATGCGGGGAAAAGATTTCATGCTGCACACATGAGGGGAGCAGTGGGTTAAACAATGGTAAACAGATTTCTCTGATGCAGGGACTCCTGTTGGCCCTTAATAATGCCAGAGTAAAAGCAAGAAGAGACTCACAGTATGCTGGAAAATTTTCAAATCTATTTGAGCATATGACTTATTTTGAAACACACCTCTTCAGTGTTCCATGGAACAAGAGAGAAACGACAATCTAGTACACAGAGTGCTCAGAGCAGTATTTTCCAAATAATGGTCACATCTTCAAGGAATAATTTCTCTTTACCCAGAAAGAAACAATCACTAGTATTAAATTTAAATTTTGGACCAATAATAAAAAAGCTGGACATTAGAAAAGGAGAGCTTCTATTTGGTTTATTATATTTTAGAATGTCAAATAATGTTTGATATCACTTTATACTATTTTCTCATGCCCAGGCTATGAAAATATCAGGAGACATTTTCTTACATATTTTGAGTGTTGCAAATTAAAGAGTTGCAAATTAAAATTACTCAGAGCAGCAAGTAATATTCTGTATATTCTGCATGGCAGAGAGATATCACTCTGGTAGAGATATATTTAGTTCTCAGTTATTAAAGATAACAATCTTCTAAAACATTTTCTTGGAGTCTTAAATTTTAAATACTGATGTTGTCAAAAGGACTATAGTATGTCTCTCCCCTAAACCAGAATTACAAACTCTGAGAGCAGTATTTATCTGACCATTCTTGATATGTAAGCATATTAGGCTGATTAATAACCCCATGTTCTAGGGTCTACTGCATCTTGTCAATAAAGCAATCCAGTGACTCTTCAGTGGCAATGCCCCTCTCAGCGGATATTCGTCATGTGTAGCTATTTTAAATTCATTAACATTAAATTAAAAGTCAGTTATTCTGTTGTACTAGGAACACTTCAAGTGTACAAAAGTCAGATGTAACTATGTTTACTATACTGAACCACACAGATGTTGAACACTATCAGCAAAGAAATTTCTACCAGACAGTATTGCTTTAGGAGACCAGACACTTGGGACCTGGGCTCCAAATTTAGAATTTTTAATTGAGCAAAGTGTTCCTCTGGAACAGATACAACTACAACTGTCAGCAAAGACACAATCCTAAAACATAGACAGTAATTTTATATATAAGAGAGACACATCTGGCCTCCCTTGTGTCACAGGGGATAAGGCCTCAGCACTATCAAGCTATCACCAGTCACTGAGGTATGAATTAGGCTAGGGAGCTGACCCCCATGGTACAACATGGAACAGCAGACCTCTCCTGTCTTTTCTGCTGCTCCCTTTAGCAGTATATTTCAGTAGGTCTGCCTATTCTGCTCCCCACCCTGTTTCTGGTGAATCCTCTCGCCTCCTGCACCTCTGGTCTACACTGGAGTTCCTGTACACATAAATAAATAAACATTAAAAAAAAAAAAAGACATCTGCACTTGAATTTTCCTATGTAATTTTCCCCCTTTCCTTTTTAATATCAATGAGTTACTTGGTAGTGAGGTCATGGGCAATACACCACTTTAATTTTTTTTCCATTTTTCTACATTAAAATTACTTGAAACAAGTTTTGTAGTGAATTAAATAAACATTAAAACTCCTATGGCTATATCTCAAAAAAGCTGTATTTAAACCTGAGAGCTTTTATTGGTAATAGCATGTAGCTTAGTCTGGTTCTACTGTGTATAAAATAGATAACACCAAATTCCTTTATTTACCTTATATATATATAAAGGGTAACAACTCAAGAATATGCAGCATATATAAAGGTGAAAGACAAATCCCAAATAAACTTATACTAAAACGAAGCTACTAGCTGATGAGGTTTAAATACCTACTATGAGAAATAGATCATGAGACTATTTTAATGTTCCACAGAAAAACAGTCCACATTTTCCCCTCAGGAATCTAAAAAACATAAACTACTTTTCCTTTTTTATCTTCTAGAAAGTTTATTTTCCTAGTGAAAAAGCAAAGTTCAGCTGAAATCATTACAATAATGACACTTTTCTACAAGAAAGACTGGATTCTAAAACTTATTAATGAAAACTCTTAATACCCATACACATGAAATTTAATGTTTACCTACTGGTATAAGGTTCTAAAGAATTAGAGCTAACATGAGAGAAATTTCACTGATATACAGCTATGGAAGTCTTTGATAAACACTGATAGAGAAAAAAATATAAGAAATTAAGTAGACTTAAATGAATTCATGATTCCATACATAACATGTTTTATTTGTTTGAAGAAATCAGAAACAGGAAGCGGGTTGGAGGAAAATAGTTTTAAATATATTTGCTAAGCATAGTATAGTAGGCACTTTGAACCTGTGCTCTTATTACTTAACACTCCTAACTCAATCATAAAAAAAAAGGATAAGTAAATTATAACTTAGAGAATTTATTTACATACCTTACTATCACAGATACTAAGAGCACACTATGGAAAACGCCCATGATCCATGTTACAATTCTGAGCTAAACCTAATGAAGATTTCTACCATGTAGCTGAATCACACCTAAGCACACCTTTGATGGACACTACCTGCCCTTGCAGAGCAACTAACAGTCACATTCTGCTTTGATCCCTTTCAGAAAGAGTCTGAAAAGTTCTCTGTGATTCTGGAAGTTTCCCCAAAGATGTAATGTATTACAGGGTTATGCCAGTAAGTCCAAACCATTCAAGACTTGGCTGAGAAGCATTACAGCAGAACATGGTGCCTGCTGCAACTGGAGTGTTCAATAATGACTGTTAGTGACTGAGCAACCTTTGAACCTGGGCCTCACCTCGAATTAGCATAGGGATTCCACTGGAATCAACCTATATCCCTATTGTTGTGCTGTGCCTCTAAGAATATATGTAATAAGGACAAAATTTCCCTGGAAGCAGCTGCCAGGTCCCATGTAAGCCATGGGTAAAACAGCTCAAAGGACACTTAGTAATGGATCCCAGGGAATGTTTAAATAATTACAATGGCTTTTGTTTTTTAAGTTTCCTGACTGATTAAAGCAAGACCAGAAAGGAAAGAAAAACCAGAAATATACACAATCTATATGATTTCATTTTATTTTAAAAGAGGTATTTGAAGGTGAAGGGAGAAAAGAACATCTGTAAGAAGACAAAACACAAACAAGCCATGTTTTATAGGTAACTGTGAGCCTCAACAGCAATTTATACTAGGAACTACATGTTGAAATAAATGAACTGATGAAAACGAAAGGGATAGCGGGTCAGATGGTGATAATTTTCTCTCAAAGTACAAGTTATCTAAAAAGACTACTTTTTGAAAAAGTTTATTTCTGCAAGCTTAAAACAAGACAAGGAATGTAGTGGCCATTATGATTTTTCATACATTTCAGAGTCATTTTTGACATAGCCTTCTATATTCTTGGATTAACTGAAACTGATCATTCTGATTAACAAAGACATAACAAATGTTCCTGATTCATTTTCATGACTGCCTTAGTTCACTTTTTGACAGAAATTTTAAAACTAAACAATTAAAACATCAATTTACTCATATGATGAAGGGCACTGGTTTCAGTTTTCATTCTATTAATGAGGGAAGAGCAGTAGGGAGACCTGTATTTGAGAGGGTTCCTGGAGGGAGTCTTTCTAAGCAATATCATACTTCATGTCTGTGTATCAACCATAGCAGGATACAGATCAGGAACTACACTGTATTGACTTTTGCTTACACTCATTTGCCTTGTTAGTATAACAGAGATATATCTGAGGTTTATCAGTCACATAAGTTTACAGAAGAGAAAAGGGGTATTCAACCATTCTTACTGGAATGGAGAAGAGAATATTTTTGCTAAGATTAACTCACAGCTGTGCCATCTCCGAAGACTTCTCTAATTATTTGAAGCTTTACTAAGACTTTTTATTTGGCCATTTTTTAAAAAATGGGATAAAATTCTCTGGCAAAGAATTTCTGATTTCAAAAGCAACACTGTACTAGCCATACCTACCAGCATTAATTTACCTACTAGAACCAGAGTCCACACTTTGCTTCTGGTTTCTCATAAGCATAGTCTATAAAGCAATCTGGAGTGATGAGCTTTAATAACAATATGTGTGATAGGATATTTTAAAGCAGTTGACAAATAGTTGTCAAATTATCTTATCTGTAGCTAAGATAACCCAAGTCCCAATACAGTGTTGCTGGCATATAACAAATGGTCATATCTGTTGTTAAAGTGTTTCTCTTACCTGCTCTGTTGCTGTAGGGCAGTAGAAGACTAACAAGACAGTTGTGCAGATATTTATTGACAATCCAATGATGGTGATGAGATTTGGGGCAATCCAGGAAGGAACTCTTCCAACTAGCCATTCCCAATAACCTTGCATTAAGGGTTCAAGCAAGGACCGTCCTGCACTCTGATATCTGTGTTCTTCCAGCCGCTTTAGTTGATGTCTTGACAATGGAGGTGTAGGCAACTGGAACAATTTATTTAATACACACCCTGGAGTGCTCATATGCCCGAAGCCCACAGGGGACTCCGGGTGAGAGTCTCCACATCGTTTTCTTGTTGACCGATGTCCACTCATGGATCTTGGCTTTCTTTTATTTGGAGAGACGAACTGGACTTCTTTTATAGCTTATTGTGGCTGGTCTTACCTAAAAAAAAAATATAGAGAGAGAGATGCATGTGTTAGCCAGTATTTATAATAAACATCAGTAAATTAAAAAATCAAACTGGTAATAGAATAATACACATTGAATAGGAGTCAGCAAATCAAGTGTCTGCTTTTAGTTCTAGTTCTTATTGATACTGTAAGTGAAAAGTGATATAACCTTACTTTTAAGTGAAAACTATTAATGGTTTTTAATAGCAATGTGCTTTCTGTTATCTTAAACTCTGTCTAATGTCAAAATCCATGCTCTTTTCCCTCTATCTTCTCACACTGCCTTCAGCAGTATACAGAACAAATCTGAGAAATAAGGGAATCATTTCACATGTGTGAAAACAGGCACAAAGGCACACCCTGCTAGCTAATTAGTATGAATATCAGAGGAATGCCTTCAGTAAAACGTGTCTTAAGTTAGATTTTGTATGTACTGCTAATAGATAACATTTACTGAGCACTCACTACATACTAAGCACTTTGTTTCATATATTAACTCACAGTACCATCACAACAACCCTACATGTTAAGGACTATAAAATTATTCCCATAGAAAGTAAGGCACAGAGAGACTGATGAACTTATCCAAGCTCATACAGCTGATAAGGTTCAAATATGGGCCTGCTGTATAAGCTAAATTAATATAGAAAAGTTACTACTGGAAAGGGACTCAGAGGGTATCCTCAGTGAAGTTAAAAGGCAATGAGAAAACTAACTTTGACCTGATGAACTAGGGTAGTAAGAAAAAGTATTAAGTGCAGTTAAGTGAGGGCTGTTCATAAAGAATTCTGAAGTGATTCACAAAAGCATCTGAACTTGACTGAAAAAGATTAGCGATAACAGGATCATTAGAAGCTATGAGGCAATGTAAGAAAATGACAAGAGTATTTTCAAAGTTAACAAGGTAGTTATATCTATATATTCACTGGAATGGAGAAAGAGTAAGAACTCTTAAAATAAGCATGGTCTCAAAGATTTTAAGTGGTGAGGGCCTAGAGCAGGATGGCAAAAATGGAAGTATGAAGGAGAGCCATTGTTGTAAGTTATTTCCAGGCAGAAAGGAGATGCAAGAGAAGGGGTTATACCTGAGGGACCTGAGAGATGAAGGAATAAAGAAAGAAGGTATCACTGCTGAAATGGAAGGAAGTCAATTTGGTATTCTGACTTTTGGCTGAGAATGAGAAGGGACCTAGGGAAGGGAAGAAACACAACTTTTAAGTAGAGATGTTTCAGACAAAATCGAGTAACGAGCTTGAATAAGAGATGAACACATCGCAGTGTCTACATAGAAGCTAAAGTCTAATAAAAAAACTAGAAAGTAGAAAAGTTCTCAAAGGGACTTTCTCAGCAGGAAAGGAGAAAGAACCTTGTGGGAAATTCATGGTTAATGAGCAGGAGTTAGAGAAGCCATAAGAGAATTTAAAAAGAAAAAAAAAAAAAAGGAATGATCTTACAACTGAAAGGATAACGGCACTGAACCAAGAAAGGTGGACTCTGATCTTCTTGTAGAAAGCCAGTCAGAATACATTTCAAAATTCCCAGAAATGATCCACTATGGGAAGACAGGATATGATATAGGGCGTAAGACATCTCAACAATGGACCTAATGTCAAAATATCCCCAGAATTTTGTGCCTTGATTTCCATATCACATTCCAAAATTTTATGGTCACTATGATCCAAGTGGCATCTAAATCTGGGTCCACAGGGTATCACAGTAATTAGATCCGACAATAAATATTGCAGTCATTAACTTCTTTAAATGAATTTTCAAAATCTCAGAATCCTCAGCAGTGTCAAAAGTTGCCTAACTGAAATGCTCTGACACAAAAATATTGGAATAACTTTCAAACAAATGAGGAAAATTAAAACTAATATCTTACTATTTCAAAGAATTCTTCCATCCACCCAATTCTACTACACAGTAACTGATTAAGGCTGCTTTTAAGAAGTATTTATAATAATGTTAAACAACTGTTGACAAATCACATTAGATCAAATAACAGACTTGCTAACCATCAGAACGCTTATTACAGTAGCCATTTTTTAACTACGAAGTTGAATGATGCATTTTCAAATATGGTAAGCTATAATAAATTAACTGTTAGGAATTCTACTTGATAAGGGAATGCAAAGTTTAGTCAACTTGATTTATATTTTATTATTGTAGGATTCCATTTCATTGTAAAGAAAAAAATTGCAATGCTGAAGGTGCTGACCTGCTTTTGGCACTTAACAGCTACAAGCAACTGATCCTAATGGTTTTAAGTTTGAGCAGTTGGCAGGACTACAGGATAAACTGATACTTTACTTCTGAGTGTTTCCCCCTCTGACCTAGATTCTCCTTTAACCTATTTCTCTTTTAGGGAAATCTACATTTTGACAAATCTTTCTAGATGTAGTTATTAAATAATTCATATTAAAAAACCCAAATGAATGCCTGAAGTTTTTGTCAACATTGCCAACATTTCAGTCTGGCAACACTGTCCCTGTGAAGCCATTAACAACAAGACTGCAAATACAAATTCAGATACTTGTAGCTCCTGACCTGTACTAACTACTTTGCTTTCCACTTGGAGAGGTAGAAGTTGCCTCAGCCCTGGGGGTTTCATCTCTATTCTTCCTTCCTCCCATCTTGCCTGAGACCCGGAAGCTATACCAGGAAAACAAAACAAAAAACCCAGGAGTTTCTGAGTTTCAGCAAATGAGATGCAAACATCTCTCAAGACAGAAAGACAAGGGAGATAGCCACCACAGACAGATTGGACATAATGGTGAGAAAGAAAAAGGACGTGGAGTAAGAATGTGGAAAGGAGTACAAATACTAGAAAATTACTTTAGCTACATGAGATTTCTATCTGTAGTCAAGCCCATGTTCAAAAGGGTAAGGAGAAAATGTACACTAGAAGGAACTAAAAAATTAATGTAAGAAATTAAAATTGCTGCTGTCTAGTATAAAAATCTCACTATCAGTTACATGTTCTATGAGAAAATGGTGTCCAAGTTCCAAATGCATTCAGCTAATACATAAGTACAGTAAGCAAGACAGAAATGGTCCCAACTCCATGCCCAATGGGAAAATAGCTTAAAACTCAAAAGCAAGCACATTAACATTACACACTATGACAGGTGCTCTGAGGAAAACAAAGTGTGGAGCCAGAAAATATACAGAGGTACATATTTTAGCTAAGGTGGCTGAAGAGGTAGCAAAAGAGAAAGCCACTCCAAGACAGAACAAAGAACAATTTAAGAAAAATGAACAGACCCCAATACCAGAAAAAATACCTGTCTGAAACAGGAATTTAGGAAGTCCTCATGACAGGACAGTGTAACCCATCCCGGAGATCGGATTAAATAAAACTTGAAAAACCAGACAATGCAGCAATTTCTAGACCACAGCCAGGAGCTGAGATCTTACTTTGATGTCATGGAAAACCATCAATGAGTTTAATGAAGAAATGTTAAATTTTGTAACACAATCTATTTGTTAACCCAGGATATGTTTTCACAAATCATAATATAAAAATGAATATTTTAAAACAATAACAGTCCCATTATCTGTAATCCAGCTCACAGTCCCCTAGCTGTGTAACTTGCCACCGGGAGTCAGCAAATTCCCTTCTTCTGATATAACCTGGCCCTAGCTAACTGTTCCTTTCATAGCACTTAGTTTATTGTGCATGTTTTCTTGTTTTGTTTCGGTCTTACCCCCACATTGGTTTGCAAACCCCACCAAGTGCAGGACCCACTCCCATCCTAACATTCTTTCCCCCAGATGCTGATATCACTCAGAACACCATATAGGTAACTATTTGTACTTATTTGTGGAGCAACAAACAACGAACAAATAATGATCCATCTAGTATTTACTGAGCACTTAGCGATTTCAGACCCTGAAGAAACAGAAAAATTGAAAGTGGCTGTGCCCTTAAGAAGTCCAGAGGGGGAAAGGTCTGTTGATCAGTGTCCTCGCCAACAGCTAAGTTACAACGTCATAAATAAACCACTGTGAAAGTCCAGAGTAGGGGACACATATGGTCTAATAAGGAATTTTCTCTGTGCAGATGCGAATCTTTATGTGAAAAGTGCAACAAAAGGGCAAAAAAATAAAACCAGAAATGTGTGGTGTAGAATATCTGGGCTATACAGCAGCCCAGAGCATGAACAGGATCATGACAAGCTGCCTACACTGTTCTTGTGTTCAGCACTGGGGACATCTGATAAGTAGCACACTAAAAAAGAAATCTCCTACCGTTCAGCGAAGCAAAAGGTGAGCTTATACAATGTCCAACCCATAGTGTGAAATTCCAGAATTCCCATCCTCCCATGTTACCACTGCCAAGTTTTGAGCTGCACTGATACAGCAGTCTGTTTACAGTTCTTTCACAGGAACTGGTGACTACATAGCTCTTTCCAACCTATGACACTAATAAAGGAAAATACTATTGGTCAGCACTATTTGGGAAATGGAGTAAATTATTAAAAGGAAAAATTAAAAGGATCACAGGATCCCATCCAACATTATTTAGCAAGGGATACAGAGAGCAAGCCAGCAAAAACAAAAGCCTTTTCAGCAGACTTGGAAGCAGAAACAACACTGGCTAATACAATTTAGAGCTACTATTCCATTGAAGTAAAATCTTGCATTCAGTAATAAAAGGTAACTTTCTCTTGAAAAAGGAAGTAAACGCAGGCATTTTACAGATTTTTTCCCCCCTTAAAAATCAGACAGCACAACAGGAACCTGAAGAACACCAGTACTGTGGCTAGCTTAAAGAAAAGTCTACTGCTTCCCAGAAAACAAAATGACTATGCAATAAAATGTAACTGTGGGTTATAAAAAGCCTAGTGCTATAAATCAAACTTTTAATAGTGCTTATAATGTAAATTCTGAGAGATGGAGTGTGGGAGAGGAAGGCAAATGAATTTATCAAGCCATAGTTGTAAATACTCAGTTCTGATTAAGTAGGTGAGAAATAAAGAAGTTCTGTCAGCTTCTAAGAGGTCGACTTATCTAACTTTTTAAACAGAAGGGCTGTAAAGACAAGCTGTACAGGAGATTTTGATTAGTTTTTCTCTCTACAGAACCACCATGGGCTAAATGCTTTCAGAACCTCATTTACCAGGATTTTATGTGAACACCAATGGTTCTTAAGTAGTAATGCTTTAAATGTTCGATCACAGTCTAACTTACTAGTCGATGTAATAATACACTCAACACATTCCTACTAGTTTGAGAACAAAAACTCAATCTCAAGTCTTTGTCCACAAAGTCCTCCAATCTGTTGAAATGTAACTATGAATTTGCCTGCCACGATAATATGGATTCTCCAATGGACTCTACGCGGTTTTAGAAAAATTCTCTCTTCAATACCAATGATCTAAAACGGCGACGATTACAAAAAAACATCCAACTGCAGAAAGCACAGCGAAACGGAAAAAGATCCCACTCGTCCAGTGTTCCTGGGAACACAAGCAATCACTAACTCCTGTCCTTTCTCCTTCCAAGAATACCGCTGAAATAAAACCCAGTTGGCAATCTTCAGAGTTTGTCAATATACGTTGAAATTTCTAGAAAAGTTGCTGACCAAGAAAGCGTGGCCCTCCCCGAAATACCAGCACCGCATTCCTAAGGGAAGACAACCCTGGCACAGGGTGCAACACGGTTTGTGGGGCTGGCAGCACCCAAGCAGGAGGGTGTGGAGCTGACAGGCAAGGTCGGTTCCGCGCCGGCAGCGACCCCAGCCCACGACCGGCCCAGCCCCGGTCCGCCGCGACTCTCCACCTCGACTCCCCGCGCCCACACTGCAGCTTCGCGCTCCCGCGCCGGCGCTTCGCCACCTCATCTCCCAGCCGGCCAAGGGCAGTCGCCCCTGGCTCGCCTCACACCCTGGCGCGCGAGGCCACCCCTCGGGGACGGACGGCGTCCGCCTCGCGCGAGTCCCCACACAGCACCATTCCAGTGCCCCACCCAGGGCAGGCAGCCTCGCCACCCCTCCCGAGGGTCGCGCCCCTCAACACGTCCTCGCACCCCGGCACGCTTCCCCAGATGGAGCCCCGCAGCCTTACCCGACCCCCCAAAGTACACCCCTAGAAATAAGACCTCCGGTTCCAGCCGACTGGGTGACTCCGAGCAGCGGCAGCTCCTTCACGACACTTTCACGTTTGCCGTAAAGGGCGACCCGGGCGGACGCGCGGCGCCGCGGGCACGAGCGCGTTCCGCCGTCGGTG